TTTATTGTAGAGATGAGGTCTCGCCAAGTTGCCCAGGCGGGTCTTGAACCCGCGGGCTCAGGCAATCCACTTACCTCGGCCTCCCAAAGCCCGGGATTACAGGCTGAGCCACCGAGCCCGGCTGAGGATTGGATTTTTAAAATGTGGTACATATCATGATGGAATATCATGCAGGACAAAATTATGAATGTCGTAGCAACTTGGATGGACTCAGAAGCTAAACTACTGAGTGATCTAGCACAGAAACAAAGAACCGAGTATCACATGTTCTCACTCATAAGCAGAACAACTATTCTAATACTACAGGAAAGGAATTGACAGCATTTGGAAACTGCTAGTGGAGACAGCGGGATTGGCAGTAGTGGGAAACTGCCAGGGGATGGAGGGGGGAGGGCACACATCATCCACAAGGGTACCCGCATAATGAACATTTGTATACCTAACCCTGAACTGTACTCCACGTCTTCAAAATTAAAAATTTTTTTAAAAAACCCCACTCAGCCGGGCTCGGTGGCTCAGCCTGCAATCCCACACCTTGGGAGGCTGAGGTGAGTGGATGGCCTGAGCCCGCGGGTTCGAGACCTGCCTGGGCAACTTGGCGAGACCTCATCTCTATTGGGCAGGCAAGACCTCATCTCTACAATAAATCAAAAAATCAGCCGGGCATGGTAGCACATGCCTATAATTCCAGCTACTTGGAAGGCTGAGGCGGAAGGATCGCCGGAGCCCAGCAGGTCGAGGCTGCGGTGGCCGGGAGCGGCCACTGCCCTCCAGCCTGGGTGACAGAGTGAGACTCCAACTCAAAAAAAAAAAAACCCACTCATCAGAGAAACCCAGAGACAGAGGGAGACAGGGACGCACAACATGATGGGGACAGGAAAAGGCCAGGCGCCCCAGGAGGTGGGGGGGGAAGGGAGGGAGAAGGGGAAAGCACACCGGGCCCACCCACGCGCACCTGCTGGATGGAACCCAGCGTGTCCGTGTACTTGTCCTCCGTCTGCTGGATTTCCCGCAGGCAACAGCAGCGCTTGTCATACTCTGTCATCTTAGGCTGGGGGCACAGGGGAGAGGCTGGTGTTGGGAGACCCACCCTGCCCCCCCAGGGCCTGTGTCCCTCCCCCCTCCGCCCACCCCGCCTGTCCTGCGCACCGGCGTGGGCCCCGGCTCCGAACGCATGAGGTCCTCGTAGATCTCGTCCCCCTCCGTCTCCTCGTTGTCCACGCAGTCGTACAGGTCCTCATCCTCCTCCACCGTGTCGCTGCAGGGTGCTGAGTCAGCATAGTTCCCAGGGGGCCAGGGCCCCCAGAGCCCTCCCAGGTCAAAGCCCTGTCCTCCAGGCCCCAATGTAGGGCCGCGTCTCTCAGATCCCAGGTCATGATTGTGTTCCCCAAGCTCCAGATCAAGGTCCTGTCCTCCAGATCCCAGGTCCAGTCCGTGTCCCTCAGATCCAGGTCAAGGTCGTGTCCTCCAGACCCAGGGCAGGGTCATGTCCTCCTAACCCCAGGTCAAGGCCATTTCCCCCAAGTCCCAGGTCAAGGCCCTGTCCCCCGAGACCCAGGTCAAGGCCATGTCCCCCAGACCCAGGACAAAGCCGTATCCCCAGACCCAGGGCAAGGCTGTGTCACCCAAGCCCCAGGTCAAGGCTCTGTACCCCAAGGCCATGTCTCCCAAACCCCAGGTCAAGGCTGTGTCCTCCAATCCCAGGGCAAGGCCATGTCCCCCGAGATCTAGATCAAGGCCATGTTCCCCAAGTCCTAGGTAAAGGCTGTGTTCCCCAGCTCCCAGGGCAGGGCTGTGTCCTACAGCTCCAGGTCAAAACCACGTCCCCCAGATCCCAGGGCAGGGCTGTGACCCCCAGACCCCAAGACAGGGCCATGCTTCCCAAACCCAGGTCAAGGCCATGTCCTGCAGACCGCAGGGAAGGCTAGTGTCCCCTCAAACTCCAGTTCAAGGCTCTGTCTCTCAGCCTCTCCCCATGATGGTGCTCCAAAAAACCCTGCTCCCCAGGTCCCAGACACTCACTCGATCTGGTCAGACAGGCCGCTGTAAATGTCCTCATCACCCACAGTGTCCTCTTCAGTGGGGAAGGGCCTGGGGGTGCGGGAGGGTATGAGCCAGGGGCTTGAGGGGCGGTGGGGGGGATGCCAGAGGCTCCCAGGAGGGAGGGGATGGCTACTCACATGATCCCCTTGTTCTGGGCAATCGGGGTCCAGGACAGAGCGGACAGGGTGTAGATGACCTGTGATAAGGGCCATGCTTTTCAGCGAGTCCCGTGCCCCACCCACAGCAGAACAGTGCCTCTGACTGCAAGGGTCTGAGGCTAGACCTTGAGGCTACATGCCGAGGCTAGACTCCATGCCTCTTGGGAGACTCATTCAGGATTTGCTCTCCCTCCCCACCTCGTGCCCCTTCACTGAACCCCCTGTTTATTTAATACTCAAAGCCACTCAGAGAGGGCAGGATGAGGAACCTAGGCCTCAGAGAGGCATAGCCGCAAACCCAAGCTCACAGTGTAGACGCAGATGGAAATGATGTGAAATTTGGTCTTGAATTGCCCAGCCTACCTTTCCAAAATCTTGCACATCGAAGAGGTCAAAGGCTTCAAAGAGCTCACTCCGCTTGAGGCCAAACTTCTCACAGCAGGTGGACAGGAAGGTTCGAATGTTCTTAAGGCACAGGAACTGCAGGGGGAGAGAGAAATTACTATGAGGGGAAATGAGAGAGTGGGGAGAAACTGGCCTGGCTGGGAGACTGGTGTGGAGGAAAGGAAACAATGACAGCACAGGAAGAAAAGAGCAAGCCGTGCCTGAAACCAGCCAGATCTATGCCCTCAGTTTGTTTTTTTTTTAATTGAGGCCAAATGCCCAAAACAAAATGAATCACTAACACACACACACATGTGGTATATCCATGCAATGGAATGTGATTCAGTCTTAAAAAGAAAAGAAGCCGGGCTCAGTGGCTCAGTCTGTCATCCCGCGCCTTGGGAGGCTGAGGTGAGTGGATGGCCTGAGCCCACGGGTTCGAGAGTCGCCTGGGCAACTTGGCGAGACCTCATCTCGACAGTAAATCAAAAAATTAGCCGGGCGTGGGAGCGCGCGCGTGTAGTTCCAGCTACTTGGAAGGCTGAGGTGGAAGGATCGCCGGAGCCCAGCAGGTCGAGGCTGTGGTGGCCGGGAGCGGCCGCTGCACTCCAGTCGGGGCGACCGAGTGAGACTCCAACTCAAAAAAAAAAAAAGAATGAAACTCTGACACAAGCTACAGTGTGAATGACCCTCAAAAGGACTCTGTTAACTACGTAGGAGGCTGAGGTAGGAGGATTGCTTGAGTCCAGGAGTTGGAGGCTGCAGTGAGCTATGATTGAATCACTGCACTACACAGCCTGTCTCAAAAAAAAAGGGGACTGGGTACAGTGGCTCATGCCTATAATTCCAGCACTATGAGAAACCTAGGTTAGAGGATCTCTTGGGGCCAGGGGTTTGAGACCAGCCTAGGCAACATAGCAAGACTCCGATCCAAAATTAAATAAATAGCTGGGTATGGTGGCTCATGCCTCTAATCCCAGCATTGTCGAAGGCCGAGGTGGGTCACTTGAGCCCAGGAGTTTGAGACTAACCTGGGCAACATAGTGAGACCCCTGTCTTTACAAAAAAGTTGAAAAAATTAGCCAGGCATGGTGGTGTGAGCCTGTAGTCCCAGCTACTCGGGAGGCTGGGCGTTTAGCCCAGGAGGTCAAGGCCATGGTGAGCCATGATCGTGCCACTGCACTCCAGCTTGGGTGACACAGTGAGACACCCCCACTCAATTAATTAATTAATTAACTAAAAATATATAAAACAGGTGGCTCACGCCTGTAATCCCAGCGCTTTGAGAGGCAGAGGCCAGAGGATTGCCTGAGCCCAGGGGTACTAGACCAGCCTGGGCAACTTGGCAAGACCTTATCTCTACAATAAATCAAAAAATGAGCTGAGGGTGATGGTGCATGCCTGCAGCTCCAGCCACTTGGAAGGCTGGGAAGGAAGGATCGCCTGAGCCCAGCAGGTGGAGGCTGCAGTGACCGTGAGCATGCCACTGCCTTCCAGTCTGGGGAACAGAGTGAGACTCTAACTCAAAAATAAAAATGAAAATAAAAAAACCGCAACGAGCCTGGGAATCTGCATCTTTCTGTCTCCAAGGGCATTCTAACGCATGCGCTCCTCTGTGACCATGTTTGCATTTCTAGGCTGTCCACCATGCAACATTCAGAGTTCGGATGGATTCCATTCTCGTGACCACCCTGTGAGCATTTCGTCCCGTGTCACCCATGAGAATGCAGGCTCAGGTGGGGGTGGGGGTGGCTGTCCAGATTCCTCCTAGCAAGAGTGAGTCGGAGAACAGGGTAATCCAACCCCACGACGGTATCACTCGACAGCCTCCTGGCCTGAGCGCGGCTCTGTCTCCTCCTGCCACGTGTGTAGTGGAGGCTGGCACAGTACCTACCTGCCCCAGCGCTCCACAGGTAACATGGAATCCTCCCCAAGACCCTGTGAGGTAAGCACTGCTGTTATCCTTATCTGACAGATCGGGAAACTGAGGGGGACACACAGCTGGATGCAAATTCAGGCAGCAGAACTTCAAAGCCTCTACGTGACCAGTACACCATGGCTGTCTGTGTATGATTGGATGTAACACCCAGTGTTTCTTGTAGTCGTCTCTTCCACGTCTGTCTTCATATCGTATCTTCTTCTCAATGGTTGACACGTCCTCAGTCTAACCAACCCATTACATATGGAACAAGAACTTTTTTTTTTTTTGATTCAGAGTCTCACTCTGTCGTCCAGGCTGGAGTGCAGTGGCACACTCACGGCCACCCCAGCATCAACCTGCTGGACTCCCGTGGTCCTTCCACCTCAGCCTTCCAAGTAGTTGGAACTACAGGCACACACTACCATGCCCAGCTAATTTTTTGATATATTGTAGAGATGCGGTCTTGCCAAGTTGCCCGGGCTGGTCTTGAACCTGTGGACTCAGGCAATCCACTCTCCTTGGCCTCCCAAAGTCCTGAGATTACAGGCTGAGTCACCAAGTTTAGCCTTTTTTTTTTTTTTTTTTTTTTTTTTGAGATGGGTCTCACTCTATCACCCAACCTGGCATGATCATGGCACACGGCAACCTCCTGGGCTCAAGCGACTAGCTTGGATTACCAGCACGTACTATCAAGTCTGGCTAGTTTTTGTTTTTAAATAGAGATAAGATCTCACTAAGTTGCCCAGGCTGGTCTCAAACTCCTGGTCTCAAGAGACCCTCCTGCTTTGGTCTCCCAAAGGGCTGGCACTGTGCCCAACCAGAACATGAACTTTAAATAAAGTTTAATTTTTTTTTCCGAGTTGGAGTCTCACTCTGTCGCCCAGACTGGAGTGCAGCGGCCACTCCCGGCCACCGC